GGGGTGGAACCCTATGACAGTTATGTTCTGGACTGAAAATCAGATTTTCCATGCCTGTGGGTCTTTTTTTTTTATAATTTATTTTAGGTTAAATTATAGCAGTTATGCTTTTTTAAAAAAAATGATATTATGCACTATAGAAATGAAAGGTTGAATGTAATCCATGCTAAATTTATTAAATACACTAATATGACTTATTTTGACAATGTATTTACTAAACTCTGGACTAATAAACTCCTAAGCAATTTGCAAAGTCAGTGAAGGCAAATCTGCAGTCGTTGGAAGATAAAAGGGACAAAATCCTATGACTATTATCAGAGTATCTTAACAAAGGCTTGTATGAGCCAGTTGCCTAATTCACCCCAGGACAATATTTTGTTTTCCTATAAATACAGATGTAGATTTAAGGATTTACCTAGCTCTCATTCACCCACCTTACTGCAAATTCAGCATGCTAAAATCATGTAGTTCCAGCCCCGGCATCTCTCTGATTACTTTAAGACCATCAGTCCATCTGTTCCAACATTTCAGTATTGTAGATACAAACAGAAACCTTGTTCAGCTTGTTTTCTGCCACCCAGGTTTACAATTGACCTAAAGCTTCACTCTCTAGAGTATGGGCTACACAGCCACATAGCAGCCATACCCTCAGATTATGATTACAATGGCCAAACATGTTGTGCTTGTTGTGCCTTAACATATGATTTTCAGTCAACATCAGTGTTGAATAAACTTTCCGTGCTGTTAAAAAGTCTGCCTTTGAAAATCTGCTACAAGGCCATGAGTGCCCTCTAGTGTACAAAACTGGCTGAAAAAGATGCAGGGAGGATTAAATGTGATTTTGAAGTCCAAGGAATGCCCAAGGTAGCTGCTGTCTTTTGCTTTCACCTGCGTTCTTACTCTGCAAATAAAAGATGAAAGAGTGACCACAAGAGGGAAAATTATAATATGGATAAGGGAAGTGTTAATTTTTTTTAAAATAGACAATGTCTTGTGGCAATTATTTGTGTAATTACGGAAACATAATGTTGATCCCCTCATGTGATGTCTTGAAATCACTACCACAATGAATTCTACTTTCCCCTGTCTCATATTTCCTGTTTCTTATTCAATTAATACATCAAAAATAGAACGTTTTCTGGATCATTTGTAATTTGCAAACAATAGTAACAGTATCTCTTCCCTAATATGAATGAAATAAAAATGATGTAGGGTAACCAGAAGTGGATTTTCATCTGGAACAACTATGAGATGCTAGCATTACTTAAAGGATTACTTTAAGAAACTTGGAATCCTCAGACTTCAGGATTCTATTTAAAAAACCTATAAAGCCAAACTGATCCTGCAGACTTGAAGACTGAGGATTCCAGTTCTGCTCCTCAGCAATATTTTGAACTCTTCTTCCTCTTTTTGGCTACGGCGTTGCTGACTTTCTCAGTTGAAACGATTGCAAGGACAATATCCAGTGAACCATCTTCTTTTCGTCCTTTGCTGTGCCTCTTCAAAAAACTTCTTTCCCAAGTATATGTTCTGTATTTTTTTGAAACATCTGTATATCTAACCTTCATTTCAGTTTTTCTCTGTGTTTAGAATAGTTTTAACAGCTCTACGTTCAATTTTTTATGAATTCTAGTAAAGTATGAAGCAATCAGATAAAGTAATTTCAGACCATTTTGTGGAAATGCTTTTTATACATGGTATGAATAGAAATACACAAAAAATAGACTTCTGGCATCTGGAAAAAATGCATCATGAGGATAAAGGACAACAAAATAAGAGGATATGAATTACTAAATATCTCATATCTTAGCTGAGAGGAGCCTAAGCAGAGCCAGATAAATAGACAGGCTAGACTAAATTTAAAAAATCTGGATGAAGATAATGGCAAACCATTTTTATATGAACATCAGTAAGATAAGATATAAATGTCCACGTAGGCATCAGCAATCAGGGACAGGGAACTTTATATTCTAATGATCTGAGTTTCTATTTGGAATTCATGTACAAAATATAAGCACATGGCCATTCACTCATTTCACCAATAATAGAACCAATTGAAACCTGCTTCCTTATATTCCACTCATAGCATTTATGGATGTTGTACTATGGTATTAAAATAAAGAGAGATGTATTTCAATATAGTTAACTGAGACACTTTCTTGGCTTAAGCCTTTCTTCTAATATCTATCTTTGACATGAAGAATAATTTAATTGATTAATCAGTGCTCTTCCTAACATAATTGAATTGATTGCTTCACTTCTCAGGAATGCTTCCCACAACGTACAGTTTTAGAATGGTGTTTTCACCTAAAAGTTAATCAAAAATGTTAAAAGCATGTTTCTGAACTTGTATATTTTTTCTTTTTTGATGTAGCTTTTAAAAATGGCATAAAGTTTATTCCAGAGTAAGGTAGTTAATAGAATCAACCAATACTTTATGTACAGGAAATGTTTATCATTTTTTAAAAGATAATTGTTTTGAAGATATCTAAAAGTGCGTTAAGAATCATTCAAAGCCACAGAAATGTCATCTAACATCACAAAAATTATATGTTAAACTACTGTGTGGTAACATTTTTTCCTGTGTGGATTTACTGTGAGGATACCATTTTTTCCAAAAAAAATTATATAACAGTTGTGTGTTACCTAAAGCTGCCCTTCATAACACAGTGTTAATTGTTTACTGCCACATTTTTGCAGTAAATTGTTTTCCTGATGGATCTCTCTACATAGCAGTCAAAGTACACTCAGACAATCAAACCCATAGTGTGTTCTTAAAATTGGATTTCATTATTAGCAACAGACCCTTATACATCTGACAACACAAACAGCAAAATCCTAAGTAGCATCTCCTAGAGCAGGGGTCTCCAACCTTGGCAAGTTTAAGCCTGGAGGACTTCAACTCCCAGAATTCCCCAGCCAGCAAAGCTGGCTGGGGAATTCTGGGAGTTGAAGTCCTCCAGGCTTAAACTTGCCAAGGTTGGAGACCCCTGTCCTAGAGCCTCTGAAAAACAAGTGGGGAGAAAGATTAGGAATAAATGATATGGACTAGGTTTCCCCTACCTAGTGCTCTCCTGATGCTCCCTCCAGCTAGGGAAGGAGGGGAACTCTGTAGACTCTAGTCCCAATACAATCTAGGCCCAAATTGAGACAAAATCTTTCTAGCAAATGTCTGAATGTGACAAGTTTCTTGTTACACCCTTAAGTGGCTTCTGTCAGAAAGAACTAAATCAAATTCCAGCTTTCCCTGGAATGGGGGCCTGGATCAGAACCTTCCAGAAGAACTTTTGAAAACCCTGTGTAGCCAAAGTTGATTGGACCCAAGGGGTCAACATGGAAGGCCCCACTTGGGATGGTGGGGAGAAGCTATCCTGGGATGAAATATCATCCTGATCAGGTGGAGACGACTACCACATCCACCCACTCACTCCAGGGAACAACAGAATCGTGAGTCTTGCTTTGGCCCTAGGCACGCTGATACGTCTCTCCCCACTTCCCCCCCCCCACCCCGGACCAGATGCTTCACTCCTACTGGATGTCGTAGGTCTTGCGTCACATGGAGGGCAGTAGGCGATTGGGAGAATGCTGCCCGCGTCTCCTTTTTTGACTAATTATAAAGTCGCCTTCTCCACTTCTTTGCTCCTGTTTTTGCTGAAGAGTTCCGAAGCCAGAAAAGATACCCTTCTTGGGAAGCGAAGGAAGGAGTCCCACCAACAGCGCCGTCGTCGCTTCTCTTTGGTAAGATTGATTTCTATTTATTGCAGCGGATCCTTCTTCGCCATCTGCCATTCCTTTCCTCCCTCCTCCTCCTTCTCCTCCGTTGTTCATTTCTTTCTTTCTTTCTTTCTTTTCCTTCTTTCCCCTGCAGTTCCTTAGGATCTTCAGAGAAAAGCCTCCACGAAGTTCTTCCGTGGGATCTTCTTCCCCGAGAGGCTCTGAGCGAGAGACTTCGGTGGGAGCCGCCGCTCACTTCACAGGCGCGCCCTATTATCGCGGAGCAAGAGAAATGTAAGCCTGGGCGTGTGGGGAAGGAAGGGACAGCGGAGCTCCAGGTCTCTAGCCTTATGCAGCTTTTCCTTAGCCTAGATTTCACTCGCGCACTTCCCGTGGCTCATTGCCGGCGGAGATGTAAAAGGAATCGGATTAGGCGGCGAACGGGATGAAAGTCGTTCGTCGCTGGTTATATTATAGCATCTGGACCTGTTTGTCGTTCAAGGTTAAATAATCCCATGAAAGTACGCGAAGTATTTTATCGTTCATTTAGTTTGTCACTAAAAAAATTTCCCTCTTTGTTTTCCAGAGTTATACTGAAACTCTGTATAAAAGCCAACATTTATAAAAGGATTGTTCTGTTTATTATGAAGTGAGCGATTTGAGATCTGATAAAAGGGGAAAAAAATACACTTGATTTCAAAGAATGTATTCTAATTGTATGTTCTTTAATTGTTTCTAGCATCGTGCATGAAATTGTCCGCATATGTAATCATAGACATTATTTGCAGGATCCAGTCTGGGTTGGTCAGCTAGTTTTCTGAGCTTTTGGATTCGTGCTGAAACCCATCCTCATGGAACTTCTGTCTAGCTGAATGTGTGCTTTGGACTATTCCGGGTGTAGTGATAAGGCGGCTGTTGTGTATGGCTTTTTAAATGTTGATTGGGGTTTTAGATGATGACAGGCATCATATAAATACCACACACAGAATAGTCTAAAGCACACACTCTGCGAGAGAGAAGTTCCCTGAGGATAGCTCCAGCACGAATCCAAAAGCTTGCAAGTCTAAACCTTTGATCCTAGTGACCTACCCAAACTGGATCCTGCAACATTATCCTGGGACCCGTATATTCGCCTTCATTCACACTAGACATTATTTCTGGTGTAATACAGCTAAAAATAATTTGGATTCTTTTTTCATATGTATTTGTTAATGCAATGTTTTGCTGGTATTAAAAAAGAAAACAGAAAATATTGTGCGTTTCATTTTTCTTTCTTTTTTCAGACCATGACATTGCTTCTGAAGTGTTATTTCTTGCTTTTGGCTCTGAATGCGTATCTTATCCTTACTATTCAAGCAGAATGTACAAAAGACTGTGCATCCTGTGCCCATCAATTGGCATATCATGCTGGTATCAACCCTTTGGTAAGCAGAATTTACTCATTGTTATTTTGAGATTATTTCTCCCAGCTCAGCTTGATACTTCTGGTTGCACAAATAGATTACAAACTCAAAATTAGATAGTTCACTAACTTAGATTAGCCACTCAACAATGGATTTGTTATAATTATGGTCCATATATATTTTCACACAGTGCATTGAATCTAATATATGTCAACTACAGATAGAAGAACTACAACGCTGAAGATTAGCAGATGTTCTTCATCAACAAAATTATAATAGTACATAAAGTATTATTTATATGATTTTTCTAACCAATGTGTTTAAATGGCTTCATTCACTAGTAAAAGGTTGCTTGAAAATTGAGCAACCTCAATTGAAAATTGAAAATGTATTATTTTATTTTAATTTTTGTACTTTCAAGTTAATCTTGACTTTTGGCATTAGCCTTTACAAGCCCCAGCATTTTTCTTGCCCTTGTTCCTCCCCTGCCCCCCCACAAGTGGTTTGCCACTATTTTCTTTCTCAGGGTCAGAGAGAGTGACTGGCACGACTGATCTGGGCTCCTGCCTATAACTGGAACTCATGGTCTCCCATTTCTAGCCTATTGCCTTAGACCACAACACAAAGTGGGTCTCAGTCTTAATATTACTATATATTAAATATTCAAGTTGACTTATTAATAATGAATATACAATAAATTCATTAGCTATATTCCTGTACTTCATCACAGCCAGATCAATCACTAGTCTTCTTTAACTTACTGTATTGGAAAATGCTTGCTCTACTGTAACCTCTAAAGAATGGATGAAATAGAAAATAAGGCAAAAGGGATTGAATGCCTTTCCCATATATCAGCTCATTATGTTGCAGACTTAATGGAAGATCTGAGTTTTAGAATTAGTACAAACAACAGTGCCTCAGTTATATGGTTTATTATTATCTCCCTGTACCCTGCTAATCTCATAATATTATAGTGATGACATAATTATTGCCATTGTTGGTTTCTGTAGCCCCTCCTTTGAGTCAGTTTGGTGAAAACACATTCAACCATCTCATTTTATCAAGCTGGATCAATTAAGTCTCACATGAACTCTTAAGTGAGAATAATATGATACAGGAAAGACTGAAATTTCTATTTACGTTTGGGAAGGTGAAGCATACTTTTTCTACTTTTGGTGATACAGCTCTTACCTGGCTATTCTGGATTATATATATATGTGCCAAAGCTTATAGGAGAGGTTTTATCCAATTAGTGTCTGCTTTCTTACGTAAATTACGTAACTACACCGATATGCAGAGAAAATTGAGCTTTCATTGTTCAAATAGTGTTCCTCCCTTCTAGAGAGAAAATATTTTTTAAAAGATACTCTTATATTTCTTTGTTTTATTCTGTCAAGCATAAAATAGGTTATGATTCTCTTCTTATTGTTTTTTCATATTGTTCTCACATCTTTAGGAATTGAGTAAGGCTGGGAGATACCAAAGGGTCATATTATTTCAGTGTCAGGTGATATTTGAACCTGGTTTGCATTTTATGCTTTGGGGTCTAATCTGACCCAAAACAATATAAATTTCAAAAACACCATATATTAATGTAGGTATTTTCTTTCTCCCCCTCCCTCTATCTTTCTATCTTTCTTCTGTGAATTTGTTTTTAAAATCTCATCAGATCCATAGGAGAATGTGCATTCTTCTATATAATCTTCTTGGTTAATAATTAAGACAATTGAAACTAATAAGATTGTCATAGAGAAAAACATGTGTCTGCCTATGTTCTTAGCTGTCAATGCCCTTTGCAACTCAAAAGCAAAACAGCAGCTGACATTTCATTTTTAATATGCTCCCACATCTTCCAAAATATATTTTTGAGGGGAAAAAAATCTTTTTCAAGTTTTACACTCATTCTTCAGCAGCATGCACATGAAAAGCGAGAGAAATAGTTTGGGGTTTGGGTTCAATCATAAACCTGTAAAATAATTAGGATCATTAGTTTCATTATTATTCCAATAAATATATACCTTAAAATATAATACCAGTATTAACCAGAAAATCAGGTTATTAATTACTATCATAAAGAAAATGGAGGCAAAATAAAAGTGAACAGCAGAGCCAAAATGTTAAGCACATCTTCCTTTATCAGACTTTCATTGTGGAAAATAAATAATATCCCTCTGAAGATAGAGAAAGATAGTACAAGATAGAACTATGGCCACCAAAGGCATCATTTAAGTTACAGTAAACTTTTGAAGAACTTCAGGAATGGCTGTATTGGCCAAAAATGAGAGTTATAATCCAGCATAATTGAATAGAATCTGGTGAATAGATCTACATAGACTTCCAACAGTCTATCCCAATGAGTAAAGATGGACATACTCCTGAGCAAATAAGCATAGGTTTACATCAGATGAGGGGGCAAAATGAACTGAAATTATTCATTTGATTTCTTAGCTCATAAATATCTTGTTTAAATTTGAGCAGGCTAGCCCAGTGGCCGACAACCGGTGGGCTGCGGCCCACTGGTGGGCCTTGAGAAAATTTTGGTGGGCCACAGAGAAATCTCACCCCCAGAGCACCCTTCCAAAGCAATTAATCCAGGCTGCACAGAAACACAAGGCTGCGCCACCCACATGGCCCGCAGGAACGCTCCTGCCCACTCACTCCTTACTCAGCAAACTTGCCTGCTAAAATTGCTATTTTTCCATTTTCCAACCAACATCTGTTCTGCTGTGTCAGGAGATTTAGATTAGCCAGGAAGCAGAAAATGGTTGGATTTCTTGCTTTCTAGCTAGTCTTTAGATCTTTGGCTCTGTTTCCCTTAGGACTGAAGGTTTGCTTGCAAGCAAATTCAGTGCAGACTCACGGCAAGCAAATTTGAGAGACTGAGCTAGCTGATGGCAGATAGATAGAGCACTGAATGATTCTGTGAGCAACTCAATCTGCTTGCTTTGCCTGGTTTTGGGTAAAAGTTGCTCTTTTTTTATAAAAAAAATTCAATATTTATATAAATATTTATAATATTTACATACAAGCCATGCCCAGCCAGTCACATGACCACCAAGCCACACCCACAAATTAGGCCACGCTCACAGAACCTGGTTAGTGGTCCCTGGGATCTAAAATTATGAGTTTGGTGGTCCTGAGGTCCAAAAGGTTGGCGACCCCTGGGCTAGCCATTTATTTTTCCTTTTGTTTAACCACATTCTGAATAACAAGTCATTTCTATAACTATCTTTTTTAGTTTTCGTTCTTAGTTTAGAACAGCAGAAGTAAAACAACCCAAAAATAAATAGGCATTATTCCGATAAATAATGAAAGATTTATCAAAAAGAAAAATCATATAGCGGATATAACATAACCTAATGCTACAAGGGGTATCACAGTTCACTAATTACATATTTGTCTCTTGTTCCTTTTAGCCTGCTAAAAAGTTTTTGGCTGTTCTTTAACACTAATCTATTACATTCACTTAATTCTGCTGTTTTGTTCTTTTTTTGCCATCAGATCTGTTAAGTTAGGGTTATCAGTCAATGGTTGATAGTTATCCTGGTGAATATATACATTCATACCATAATCACAATAAGATATACTATTTGAATCTGCCTGCAAAGATTAAAAATGTTTTGGATATGAGATTTAACAGTAGCGGGAGGCAAAAAAAAGAGTGAAATATTCTGTCAGACTTCAAAAACCAAGAAATTTTCAAATGTTTCTGTACAATAATGTTCACATACAGCTTTATGCTGATGATAATTGCACCATGATTCTATTAAAGTATACTGGATATAATTTAGAGCCAAATATTCATAGTCAAGCATGCAGGATTTTCTTACTTCAAAGAAAAGTCATGATTCCCTAAGGGTTCCCAAAAGATCTCTAATGAATATAAATTATTTCTTCATCAAATTGAGCTGTAAGAAGTGGTAGAAGAAATTCACAGATATAACAGGCAAATCAAGCTAGTGCAATTCCAAGCGTGAAAAACAAAAGCAAAAATAATAAACAAATGTTTAAGTAAAACAATAACAAACTGTCAGTTTGAAGCATTTATTATAAAGAAAGCGAATGACCAACTTCAATAGTCTGAATTAATCACATATCCAGGAACTGTGGACTGTCCATTAAGATGCTCTGACTTATAAACCTTGGGTGTAGATCCTTCTTTATTCTTGTTTCTGAAGTTCTAATATCCTTTTATAATTAGAAATTGGAGAAAAAGTCAGTCAAGGAAGGAAATTATATATTTCATCTTGCAATGCTGTGACCTATTTTCTTCCAACCATGATAAATTCAAAACAATTAGAATTATTCCTCTTTTGAAAAACTAAATTGTTTCAGTTAGACTGACATATGGAAGAAGACAATGAGTTTCAGAGACCTAATAAAACCAAAAATTGCTTTCTGAAAGCTATGAATGTAAACAGTTATAGGCTAACTGAACATACCTTTTAGTATTAAATTTTTCAGATCTTAATGGCATGACCAAAAATGGACCAATTTGGGGGGGAGGGAAGTTACCATATCCTCACAATACAAAAAAGGTGCTGAGACCCTAGAAAAAGTACAGAGAAGAACAACAAAAGGATATGGAGGCTGATCTATATGATGAATGGTTGAGAACTCTGTATGTCTAGACTAAAGAAGAGAAGGACTAGGGGTGATATGATAGCAATTTTCCAGTACCAAGGAGCTCTCACAGAGAACAGGGGTCAACCTATTCTCCAAAGGAACTTGAAGGCATGGCAGGAAGTAACAGGTAGAAGATCCTTACATAAAGATCCAACTTAGAACTAAGAAGAAATTTCCTGACAGTGAGAACAATTAATCAGCGAAATGACTTGCCTTCAGAAATTGTGCATGCACCATCACTGAATGTATTCAAGATGAGATTGGACAATCATTTATTTAAAATGATAGAGGTCTTCCTGCTCAAGCTGTGGATTGAACTAGAAGGCTTCAAATGCCCCTTCCAAAGTTGTTATTGTATGTTCTATATTCTAAATTACAGCATTGGAAGAAATAAAGATGAAGAAACTAAGAGTAGGTTCAGTATACATATTGATATTTGTTCTACTTGGCTACTCCAAATGAATTCTCAAGGTCCAAAATGTTTAATATTAACTGTACAGTTTTTATACAATTTAATCTTTATTTAGTATGGTAACTAATAGAATATTTAGGGATAAAATGTATTTCTTTCCTCAACTTGTATTTGAAATCATCTTTCATATAATTCAACTACTCATTAAATCAAGCCAGCAAAATATTTTAACAATATTTTATTTATATGCATGTATACATATTTAGCTGTCTTTTTGTTGCCTGCCTGCCTGCCTGCCTACCTACCTACCTGAGAGAACATTCCTACCAAGATTCTGCAAGAATCTTGAAATAATTCTGAGGTTTCTTAAACCAATTTCATGGAAAGCAGCATTTGACTAGAATTTTTAATTATATTGTATTCCATATATCAAAATGGTTGCCATCCCAGTTTCTGACAACATCACAGAATAAGGAGACTTTTGTCAGACCCAAGACAATATAGTGAAATTCAATTGAGTCCAATTCTTTATTTGCTTATATCTAATATACAAAATTTTGCAAGACTAAAGCTAAAACTCTCTAGCATAATAGACCGATGCTAAGAGATTCTAGGATGTGGCTACCCTAAACATCTTTCTCCCTTACCCATCTAGTTCTGGATTGTCCAGTCTCTTAATTTGGGCTTATCTGCCTCCTCCCTGGGAAACCACCCCAGGTGCATGTTTCTTCAGGTTCATACCTCATCACACGTTTGACTTATCAGCATCAATGATTATAGAATATCTGGAGAAAACCTTACTAGATTTAAAACTAGCTGAACTGCCAACTAATACTTGCTTTTTGTTTTGCTTTTATCAGCTTAAGCCGTTAAACTTCATAGATATATATAATCATTTAATTGGAGACAGCATAGATATGTATATTTGTGTATGTTGTCTTTATTCAAAATTGTTTTCAATCCCTTAAATGAAGGACAAACAGGGGATTTATAAGTTATATGTGATTCAAAGTATTCAAATGACAGTACATGATGAGGGATTTACAAATGGTTGCTCGAAATATCATTCCAAAGAATTATGTAAGTACTAAACTACTTATGCAACATTGCTGACATACTTCTCTTTATTGTAGTTTTATAATACAAGGCAAAGGTAGTTAGCTTAGGCAGCACCGTTAATCAGTTTAGATAGCTGCAAAACCTTGGGTGAGAGCTTTCTTTACCTTGGGCTCATCAGATAATCAGAACAATAAATAATTGAACATGCAACTATCTACTGAATCTGTGTCAGAACATACATATAATCGTAGAAACTAAATCCAGAGATCATACTTAAGCAAATATGCTTTCTATACATGTCTCATTTCCAGACATTGCCCTCACTGAAATGAAATGAACAACAATGCAAATTCAGCAAGTAGGAAAGAATGGGATTTAGGTCTGAACCTTAATGTTTCTACATGCTGTGCAGTGAAAGAATTCTGGAATCACTTTACTGATCCAAGTAGATCGTTTTAAGCATAACCCTCTGTTTAAAAATTAATATGTCTTATTGGCATCAACTGCTCTAATAATATCACTGTATACAGAATAGACAGATTCATGTTTAGTCATAGACTCATTAAAACAGTATAATTTTAATTAATAAAAACTGATATACCTTGTTGATTTCAAGGGATCTAAGCATAATTTAGTGTAATCCTTTGCATGCTATGGAAAATGGACAGGAAATAATTCTTTCCTTCCACAAAACCGAACTTCTGTGTATTTTTGCAAAGGCTAGGAAAATGCAATACACTGCAGCAGGAAGCGGCCATTAATGAAAATTACTCTACTTTTCCTTCTTTTAGTGGGAAATCTCCTAGTGTCTTCCATGAGCACAATGAAGCAAGAACATATATTCATTATTTATACTATAAATTGTTTGTAAACTTAGTAAAGTTTTACTTAGGAAGGCTTGGGGATTAATTTTAATAAAATTATTTTGCATCATTTTTAAAAATTTAGTTTGTCTAAGTTATTTTTATGAAGTGATTTTATAGTGGTTTTATTGATATAACATGCACAATTTTGAAATACTTATTTTTTTAAAAAAGTTGTATTATAATATTTAAAAATAAATTTGTGTAATAAATATATATTAATTAGCAATGCACTTATATAGTCCGATCATTGTCTCAGTCAGTTTTCTGCCACTGTCTTTAGTTTCATCTACCTTTCTTTTATTCTTTTAAACCTTTAGCTATCCCCCACCCCCAAAAAAAAATTACAGAATTTTTAAACAATTAGGAGGACAGGAGCAATCTGATCATATTCATTTTCCCATTGTGTGGATATGTACTAAACAAGCAAAATCTCTTCACATGTACATTTTGCTGAATATATGTTTGTAATAAATCATGAAGGTGTGTTCCAGTAGTATAAGGATTAACACTCATATATAGAACTTTAGAGATATTATTTTCTCAAGAGCACTTCCTTCTATCAACAATCCTGCATTTCACAAATTATGCAAAATCTTTCTCATTATTGCCAGATTACTGTTTTGAGAAGTATATCTTTTTAATTCCATCTTCTCCATTCCTATGCTTAGAAGTTGGACATTTTGATCAACTTTGATCAAATTATTTAGATCATCAGTTCCAAAATATACCAAAAAAGTCAAGTATATTTGTTTTGTTTGGCCATACTCAGAATTTAAAAATTCTGAAACATAAGATGATATTTCAAATGTTATATCTACTTCTAAAATAACTTTGTAAATCAAACTATTTTTTCAGCCATGTACACTAGAATGTGAAGGAAAACTGCCTTCTGCCAAAGCCTGGGAAACCTGCAAGGAACTTCTTCAGATTACCAAACTGGGCCTTCCCCAAGAAAGCAGCAGCATCCTAGTGGACAGTCCAAAAGAGGATGAAAGCCATTTGCTAGCCAAAAAGTATGGTGGCTTCATGAAAAGGTATGGTGGCTTTATGAAAAAGATGGATGAGCTCTATCATGTAGAACCAGAGGAAGAGGCCAACGCTGGAGAAATTCTTGCTAAAAGATACGGAGGGTTTATGAAGAAAGATTCAGATGATGATGGTTTAGCTAATTCATCTGATCTTCTGAAGGAGCTTCTTGCAACAGAGGAAAATACTGAAATAGGACACTATCAGGACTTGAGTGATAGTGATAGTGAGGTCCTCAAGAGATATGGTGGCTTCATGAGAAGCATAAAGCGCAGTCCAGAGCTGGAAAGTGATGCCAAAGAGTTACAGAAGAGATATGGTGGATTCATGAGAAGAGTAGGAAGGCCAGAATGGTGGCTGGACTACCAGAAAAGATATGGTGGATTTCTGAAGCGGTTTGCTGATACTCTTTTTCCTTCAGATGATGATGGAGAAAGTTATTCCAAAGAGGCTCCAGCGATGGAAAAGAGATATGGTGGATTTATGAGATTCTAGCATTTCTTGTTTTGTCCTTTTGGCAATCAAAGACTGCCTCATTGACCATAATTTAGTGTAATGTATTGCTTGTACTGTACAGTTTTTTACTGTCCTGGTTAATAATGCAACCCATTGTCTGTTATTTCAGATTTTGTGCTCTTTTAAGTTAAAAATAACTTCTGTTTTAGTCTAATTTGTCTATATTGTACTTTCATGCTAAATCTATTTTAATTACCATATCCATTTCTTTAAAGAATGTAATTGTTTAACTGTATATATAATAAATTCTTCATCTTAACTGCATAAAATATTCTGAAGCAATTTTTGTAGTCACTAAATTAATGAACAGCAAAGATTTAACAGTAGACTATTTTATGTGAGTTTTATGCTGTCCATGAAATAGAAATTAAAATTAGATCAGTCATATTTTATCATTCACTTTCTGAAAATATTTCACAAGGTTACTTTTAAAAATATTCTGTATTTCAACAGCTTAACAAAATTTAATAATTCATATTTAATATAATTTGCAACAAAAAAGTGGAATGTGAAATCTTTCAACATATAAGCAGTTACAAGAGAATAAGCTACAATTTGACATCAAGAATTATGGCAGAATGTTGAATTAATGGCAACACTCCTAACTGCATTACCTCATTTTATTTGAAGTGGCAGGCATCAAATCAATGTTATCAGCCTATGTATAAGACTAGAAAGCAGTTCCAGTCCCTAAAAGTAAATCCATTCAGTTGTTTTAAGCTATAGGCCTTAATAAAATATAAATTGAAGTTAACTGATTATATTATGATTAAACCAATATGAATTATTTATAAATTGTAGTTGACATTTTAGTTATCTTCTATATTACTTCATTTTCATTGATATTAAATGAATAGTAAAGCCTATTATTACATTCTGTACACATCAGATAACAGAAAACTTCTCCCAAATCGTATTTATGGAACCAAATTAAGACCAAAAACAAGTAACAAATCACAGTAAAATAATACAACAGCCAAATTAAAGAACCACCAAGAACACTGACCAACACTGACAGGATAAAATACCAGTATATAAAAAGACAGGAAACCCCATTCCCTTCTAGCATTGGTGATGTTACCTAGTTTGGCAATGAAACCTCTGCAAGAAAACAATCAAGCTCAGAGAGCAGCAAAGACCCCACAGTTCAACCTTGAGCTACTACATAAAGTCTTTTCTAGTGGTACCACATTAAAATAAGTAAGTGGATTTTGTTTCTTCTTCAAAATGTCTGTTCTATTCCAGGAAAGTACATCAGGCAACTTTGTAAAAAAACCAATTTAAACATTTTTAAATGAAGAAAATTCTATCACACAATGAATAGGAATGTGGTTATGAAAACTGTCTTTTGTTGGGTTTTGATCAAATAATTTCATCACAAAAAAAGTTATTTGGAATAACAAAAAATTAGAGACTATAAAGGATGGTGACAATGGTAGAATGTGGGTTCTAGCTTTTGTCATACAGAATTAATTTCTTCCAATACTTGTTCTATGTAGTGAAATGTATTAAAGATATTTATTTTAATTGCAAACTTGTATATAATCTTGAACACAAGCCACTACTTTCTGTGGGCCTCTAAATAGTTCCTGATTATTATTATTTTCACAATCCCATGTCCTTATTTATTTTGTGGAATATTATTAGAGGGCTTTAAAACGTAGCTTTTCCATATATTTCTACATTACTTTTTCTATCTTCTTTATGATACATATTGACAGGTGTGGGATTCAAATTTTTTAACAACCGGTTCTGTGGGCATGGCTTCATTGGTGGGTGTGGCTAGGTGGGCCTGTGACTGGGTGGGCATGGCTTGGTGGTCATGTTATTGGCTGGGTGTGGCCAACTCAATATCCCTCACATCAAGGTACACATCTCCTCGCCTGGACTCTCATGACTGTGGGGATGCTGCAACAGTCATAAGTGTGAAAAATGGTCATAAGTCACTTTTTTCAGTGCCATTGTAACTTTGAATGGTCACTCCACACCAGCAAAGTACCAGCAAAGGAGGGGGAAAAAACTCCAGAGATGTTCCTAAGACAGGAAGTCTAGTCCTACCAAGAACGTAATAAGGGTTAATGGAGAGGCAGTTTCTGTAAGCAACACGAGAATGTTTCCTTCCTGCCTTCCTTACAGGATTAGGCCAGTAATTTCTTCTAACAACCGGTTCTCCGAACTGCTTAGAATGTTAACAACCAGTTCTAGCGAATAGGTGCGAACTGGTAGAATCCCACCCCTGTATATTGAGCATGCTGAATGCAGGTTAAAGAAATCTAAAATAGGTTGTATGAGAAAATGTGGAAACTTAAAAGAAAAATATGAATTCAGTAACATCTTTAATAACACTGCCATGTTTCCTTGTTCATGCAAGCAGTCTGCTTGAGCAGTGGGTTGTACCAGAAGATCTCCAGGATCTCTTTTAATCCTGTTATTCTATTATTTAACAGCTGTTTTCTCTACTCCACAACCTATCCAGTTCCCGTTGGCAGGATCTATGGCCAAGCCCCGCCCCCAAGGCCCCTCCACCTTATGTTTTTCTGACATATTTAATACTTCTTTCTTTCAAAGCCTGTGTGCCAGCTTGGAGTTGTAACTTTTTTTGCCTTTTTCAGTAGCTGGCTACATATCTAAACTATGCACCTGTCAGTCTGATTACTGGAAAATATCTGATCTTTAAAGTTGACAGACAACCTTTTTTATTTGACTTCAGGGCAGCACATGCTTCCACCAGCAACTGAATTGCTATTAGATCCTAAGCATGGAGAGTAAAAAGGAATCAGACAATCAATAACACTACTAACAGGACAGAAAAAGAATAGTAACTGAATTGTAGGTGTCAGGGCTCCAACAAATCCCCCTCATTCAAAGCAAAAGTCTCTAGCCGCATCTCAGAAAAAGTAAATTGGTTTAATAGAAATTGCCACGTTGATGCGTGGCTGGGTGCAGCTGGTACTAAATCACATCATACATTTCCCCCTTGACCTTGGTCTTTCCCCCACCCTCTGGATGTGACTTCTCCAATAGGACACATCAGTCTCCAAGAGTCATCCATCATGCTCTTCAATAACCTTCTTATGCTCCAACAACTTTGGGCTGCTTAGTTGATTATCTAGGCATTTCAAGAATGCCTTGTTTTCGCCCACTCCCTTTTTCTGGCAGCTAAAATGACCAAAGGAGTATCTTTTTAGTTGACAGTAAGTTGTGCTTGAAAATATACATAAAAAAGTATATCATGCCTACAAGGGTCTCCACTGTGAGATTTTCTGAAACCAACAGCATGATCAATTTGTTGCAGAATATTCTTGTGTGATTGATTCCAGGATTTGTAGTTTGAGAAAGATTATGTTTCCCTACATGAAATGTTCTGTCAAGGATAAAAAGTTCGGTGTCTCTGGTATAGATGCGAAGGAGAATGAGACAAACAGCAACATTTCAACTTTTCTTTCTTCTTAGACTATCTGGTTACATATACAAATTAGATAGTCTGAAGTGCAGTTAGAACAAAATGTTTTCAAAGACAAAGGACAGCAATAGGTAATCCTTTTTTTTCTTCTAACAAAAGCAACATGTAAGCAGTGGATAAAGAAAAGCAAGATGACAGTTTAATAGCAATTGCACTTAGACTTATTTACTGCTTCACAGTACTTTACAGCATATTGCCCCCAATAATTTGGGTCCTCATTTTATCGACTTCGGAAGAATGGAAGGCTGAATCAACCTTGTGCCTGTCAGAACCAAACTGCTGGCAGTTGGCAGAATTAGGCTACAATACTACATTCTAACCACTGTAATAATGATTCCTCTAATAATTAAGAAAAAGATTATAAGTTTTTAATGGCTATCAATGAAAACTTACACATGCTGAAAGTCTAATCTAATCTAATCTAATCTAATCTAATATATTTCAAAATATAGTAAACCAATACATTCAAAGGAGGATTTGAATATCCGCCCCTAAGAAAAACCTCCAAGGATACTGTAGTTCTAGTTAAAACATACTTTCTTTAAAAAGAAAAAAACAGACTTTTGATCTACAGTGACAGATCCTTTTTAACAAAAATGATGTTATATATGATACTAGATTCTATCCAACAAAATTTTTTTTATATGGGGTCCTATCTGAAGAAATTCAGAAGCAATACCAATTCATTATAAACTGCTTAGAGAAGGTTGTAAAGGACTGTGAAGCTGTATATAAGTCTAAGTGCTATTGCTATTATGTTGGTTAGCATGCTGTTATGTTGGTTAGCATCAATTTCCAAATTTTTCTCACATTTAATAAGGTTTCTATTGGAGAACAGCTGGCAAGAAACTGATTTGTCTAGAGTTTTACTAATCAAACTCGGTATTGTTTCATGCAAGCTATTTCTGAATGTTCATAGTCAAGCAGCAAGAAACACAGCAAAATTATGCAAGGACAGACTTACCTTTCATGAAAAGTGTTTTCTCAACTCTGCTTTGTGCAAAAGGCCATAGTTGCTGGGAATTGAAGCACGAAGTCTTGATTGATTAAGGTTTTATTATAATATTTAGTGCAGATAAAAGTTTTAATTTACTAAATTGCGTTTAGGACAGCATTTTCAGAACCTAGCAAAAACATTTTTCTGAGATAAACATTCAGGATATAATAACTTTCATGCTTTTCTGATAAGCTTTGATTTTTATTCTTTTCCCTAGCTTCTAAATTACACTGCTACAAAGCCATCATTTGGCTTTTTGTAGCTTAGTAGGAAGAAAAGCTATATCATGATCTATTCAAGTAATATGAATATATAATTTGTACTCATTTAACAGAAAAATGTATTCTATACTCACAGATGTGCACAATTCTGCTAATAATAAGGATTGGTCACAAATGGTGAATGTCTTGAGTTATGTCTTTATTGACAAAGACTTAAAATGTGAAATCTTAATAGGTGAAGAAAACTGATAATAATACAGGAAAAAAACACATAAATAAATGCAGAGCTTTTTGGTAGGTTCTATGCTGTCCAAAATATTTATAAATGATTTGAATGTGGAGTTAGAAATTATGACTCGATATTATAACACAAAGATAGGGGGAGGGCTAATATGTTAGGGAATTGTGGTTGATGCTCCCATTAGATG